CGGCTGCCCTCCGCGGCCGAGGAGCAGCTGAAAGGCGGGGACCAGATGCTGGAGCTGAGCGGGCGGCACCTGAAGCAGCTGCCAGGCCCCGTGTGCTCCCTGGTCAGCCTGCAGAAGCTGTATATCAGCGGCACGGGGCTGCGGGAGCTGCCCGAGGAGATCGAGGAGCTGCGGGAGCTGCGCATCCTGGCCCTGGACTTCAACAAGCTGGAGGAGGTGCCCGAGGGGCTATGCCGCCTGCCCCGGCTCACCCGCCTCTACTTGGGCAGCAACCGCCTCTTCGGGCTGCCGGCGGAGTTCGCCCAGCTGCAGACTCTGCGCTGCCTGTGGATCGAGAGCAACTATCTGTACCATTTCCCCCGGGCCCTGCTCCAGATGCCGGCACTGCAGTCCCTGCAGATGGGCGACAACAGGCTCAAAACCCTGCCCAGCGGCCTGCCGCGGATGTCTGGCCTCCGGGGCCTGTGGCTCTACGGGAATCGCTTTGAGGAGTTCCCACCACCTTTGCTCCGCATGTCCCAGCTCCACATCCTTGACCTCGACCGCAACAAAATCGTCGAGTTCCCAGACCTGGCCCACCTGCAACAGCTGCGACTCTTTTCCTATGACCACAATCCGGTGAAAGTGCCGCCCAGCGTTGCTGACTCTGTCACCCTGGTGGGCGATGGGGCCCAAGAGCTGATGGAGGCCAGGGAGGAGCGTCTCCAGAGCCTCCGGGAGCAGGAAGAGCAGGAGGAAGATGGCTCGGAAGCTGTGCGGGGGGCCCTGAAGAACGACTCCTCTCTGCTGGAGGATGCTGAGGGCAGTTTCTCTGCCTTGGAGTGTTCTCCAGAGGAGACCTGAGCTGAGTACCCCTGAAAACAGGGTTGTGGCTCAGAATATCTGGTGGGATCCACTCATGTGCAGCTGCAAGGGGCTGGGACCTTCTCTGGGTCCACCATGGGCACCACCAATTTCCACCTAGGACCACCAGTCCAGGGAGTCTCTCTCTCTCTCTCCTTTCAAGTGACATACCACTGATCAAAGGGGTCACCGTCTCTTTGCTGGGACCGGGGCAGCAGAGAGGGCCACTGTCTGTGTACCAGAGTCCAAGGAAATCACTGTACCCTTTTAGACATCCTGCCTATCCACAGGGCTTGGGGATTGGGAGGGGAACACACAATGCTGCAGTGATGGATAATCCCAGTAGTGCAGTTCTTTGGAAGGATGTTCCCCATTTGAGATGGGATATCGAGCCGAGTTGGCTTCCTCCAAGTAGCCAGCCTGTGTTGGAAGCATGATTCTGAATCGACTTTGATATGACAAGTGGCAGCTGCCTGCTACATACCTACACGTGAATCCTCCTCTGAAGCATCTGGCCCATCACAACGGGCCTTGGATGCATTATAGGAAAAAGCCATGCTTTTTAAGATTATTTCCCTTGGACTCTCTGCCCTGGAGGTCTGCAGGGGTTGAATATAAATGTAAAACCTTTTCTCGTCCCAGAGGTTCCTACCCTGCTACTGGAATTAGACTTGGAGAGAAACCTCCCCCGAGCTGCTCCTTCCAGCTGTCAGGTTTGAAAAGAAGCTGATGTAAAAGCCTTGTTTGTGCGCAGAGCTCACTGTCTGTCCTGGAAAGGGTTTTGCCTCTGCTCTTTGTATGGTGGGAAAAGGAGCCCCGTGTGCTGCTTCACAGGCTGCCTGGACTTTCCATTCCCTTAAATGGGCACAGAAGGAAAAGCTGGTATGAACTGGGCCACCAGGACTGTGTGTGTCTGGGGCAATGGGGTGGCAGCAGCAGGACTCTCTCCCTTTCTTCCTGGGGGTGGCAGGCTCATTCTCCCCTGCCTCGCCCCGTGAGCTAGATTTGTACCAAATCTAAGCAATAAAAATGCACAGAAACTGAGAAAATACGGTATGAGAGAAAGAGGCTATCAGGCTGATTCTTTGGCAGGCTGTTTGGGGAGGAGGAAACCAGCTCAGTTGGGGTGGTTTATTGAGTGTTGTAAACAGAATGACATTTCCTGGTGAAAGAACTGGTTTCTCAGACAACTGCGTTATTTTTAACGTTCTAGGGAATCCTGTTTCCTTTGCCCAGCTCTGGACTCTGCTCTCCTCCTACCACACTTCCTTTCCTCTCCATTCCCCTCCTCATCTCCTTCTGCTGTCTTCTGTCACCTCTGCTCCCCCTCCCTCTCCCTGCACTAAATCCATTACCTGTGTTCACCATCTTGAATTTAGTATCCCTTACTCTTTCCATCTCGCCTCCTCACCTCTCTCTGCTCCATTCACTCCCAGACCACCTTCCATCTCAGTAAATTATTGGCTTGGCAAAGAACACAAGCATCACTCAAGTGAATACACATTTAGTGTCTTCATCTTGGATGCGGTTTCTGAGCAGTTACAGGGTTTTATAGTGTGCGCCTACTTTATATTCCAGCCCCTTTTGGATCCTGTGGTGGCAGCCATGTGGTGGTAAGGCATTTCTGCCATCTCTCTTTTTTTCACTCAAAGTTATGCTATTTTTTTCTTCCAGCAAAGAGGCTGGTTATTGCTGATTGCTTGAGGAAGTCCTTTTCTCTTTGGATTTCATGCAGCAGGACAAAAAGTGCCTGTCCGTTCCAGTCTCCCCTGTCGTGGCCATTACAAAATTGCCCATGCCTGGGTTTCCAATGGAATGTGTCCTGGTGTCTACTTCCACATTGAAATCACTGATTCAGTACTTGGCAGAATCCCGGGTCTGTGTTACATATTGTACTGTAGGTGTTCTGCTAGCATGATGGGATTTAGAGCAATCTAGCTGCACGTGCTTTGATTTTTCTCTTCTCAGTAGCCGATAGATTTGTCTTTTAGAGTTCTGTCTAGTGTCTACAAAATGCAGAAATGCTGTCTGCGTAGGATGGACTGTGGTGTAGGTTTCTGTAGGGGTCATGCCCCGCTGTATGCAATCAAAGCCTGCCCATCAGGCTGCTGTGGATAAGGATGTGTTTTTTATAGTCAGTGGCATGCAAGGAGGTAAACACCACATTTGGCTGTCCCTGACTCCCCAGCCTCAATGACCTTTTTCCAGGTGATTTGACTGGGGGCAGCTTTGGGGAGGAGTCCTTGATTTGATGTTTCTCAAGTCACAACAAAATGCTCTGATGGCCCTGCCATCATGCTTCAACTATTCAGTACTGTCTGTGCAACGACACTAGACCCCAGCCTCAACACCCATATAGCTCTAGTAATGTGAAAAGAATAGCTAGTAAATTTTAGAGGCCTGTAGAGTTTTCAGTAGGCAACTCAAACCTTTTTACTGTGTTAGTGTGAGACCAAAGTATCTATTATTCAGCGCGTGTTCTGCTTCCATGTGAGCACAGTAACACTTGATTTAATTTAGGATTTAATTTAATCCCTTTTTGCTCTTTTCTAGGTGTACTGCAGTAGTTAAGTCTCTGGAGCAGGTTCAGATACATGGGGTACAGGTTCATCAGGCCAGTGCTGGTATCAGGAACAGGATGTCTCTCTCAGGGTTGCTCATTGCCTTGCTCTGTCATTGCATCTGTATCACTTTTGGGGGTTTATTATAATTATTAATTACTGTTGTGCCTAAGTCCCTGAGGTATGGAGGAGCAGCTTTGTTCTGTGTCTCTGTTCGTGCACCCTTTTCTCTCTCTCTTTCCATCCTTTCACTTTGTACCCCTTCAAATGACACCCCTCAGTGCAGGAGCTGTACACCTGTTGCCATGCTCCAGAAGTTTCAGGGTAGGCAGGACATTGTTTTGTGGCCAGTGGCAGGGGTGTCTTTATGCCCTGACAATTCCATGCTGCTGTTACAGGCATTGCGGAAGAGGCACCATTGGGAGCGCCCTTGTGGGGTTCAGTGGAGGCTGAACTGGCCTGAAGTGGCCCCTAAATAGGAGAGGCAGAAATTACATCACTTTGGGTCTACAGCTGGCCTTTCATGGGAGCCATATTTTTTGGCCCTTCAAAAAGCTATTGCCTATTTCTCTCTGAGTTCTGCTCCTTCCACATCCCAGTTTCCGTCTTCTCTTGACCCTTATTGCTTACTATTTCTATTATGATGCTCTCAACTCCTCTGTTCTGGATTACTAAGAAAGTCCTCACGGCCCTTAAGGATGTAGAAGGCAGGGTAGACTTGCACCTTATAGACTAACCAAAGAGAGAGAGAGACAGAGAGTATGTCTCTGTGTGTGTGTGTGTGTGTGTGTGTGTGTGTGTGTGTGTGTGTATGTCTATCAATATATAGAGAGAGTAAACACATGTGCACTCATAAGCTTTCATGGGCTGAAGCTCATTTCATGAGATGCTATGAAAGCATGTGAGAATGTGACATCACAGCTGTGTACCCATGGTATTGGGCCACAAAGTCATGAGGAGAGGTTGGAAAGTCAGGTGAGGGGGCAGACGTAAGGAAGGAGTGAGAATCTGGTTGAAACTACGTTTGGGAGAAGAAGTTAACTGTTATACTGAAATGGAAGCATGGGCAGGGGGTAACTCCTGGCAGTTCGGCTCTCTTGAGTCTTACTACAGTGCTGCTTTGAGCTCAGGAATCTTTCTGCCCCTTCCCCTCACCCTCCTGTGTACTGTTATTTCCATTTCCCCATAGCAGTTGGCAAACTGTGCCAAGTGCAATGTAGAATAGTTTCAAGATTTTACTCATTTTAAGATGGAGCTTGGTGAGTTGGTGAAAGGGATTGTATGACTTGGTTGCCTGTGGTTCCAAGGGACTGGACTCCATGACCTACATGTTCTCTTTCAGTCCAACCTTCCTGAACTGTGAAACTCCATACTTAGGGTCTGGCCAGCCATTATGGGGGAGGTTCTCCAGCACTGACCTTGTTGTCTAAGTGTCAGTTGCAATCCAGCTATGTGGACCAGCACTAGAGGCTGACATCCTAGCTGGAGTAGGGTTACCATATTTCCATTTTTTAAAAAGAAGACACCTGTCAGGGAATGGGGGTGGGTGGATAATCTGATTGGGCGGGAGGCAGTGATATGCTTGTGCCCTACCCCTGCCCCTCACTCCCAAATCACAGTCCTCCCAGCCCTGCTGATGCCCCTCACTCCCGACCCACAGTACCCTGCCCCCCAGACCATGCTGGTATCCTTCACTCCCAACTCACAGTCCATTCCCCATCCCCCAACCCCACAATCCCTGTTGATACCTCTCACTCCCAATCTGCAACCCCCTGGCACTGCCTGTGCTCCATGCTCCAGTCCCACAGTCTGTGCCCCCCCATGCCCCTCAGTTCTAGGCCACAACCTGCCTAGCCCTGCCAATGCCCTTCACTCCTGACCTGCAGCCCCTGCCTCCCAGCCCGGCTGGTGCCCCTCACTTCCAATCCACAGCCCTCTGCTCCCCACATCCCTGCAGCATCTCCTGGCTGTCCAGGAAGTGTTGGGAAAAACTTTGATGCTGAGCAGAGCAAATCCCAGACATTTCTTCCTATTTCAAAAGACTGCCTGGACAGAGATCGGAGGACCCAAAAAGAGGCATGTCTGGGAAAACCCGGACATATGGTAACCCTAAGCTGGAGAAATCCAGCCATTTTCCTTCTGAATGAGATGAACTGAATGCCATGTAGTAGTCTGAGTAGGTGACTCAGTTCAGACCTTGAAAACCAAGGACTGCTCTGATAGGACACTAAAGCTCCCACTGTGCTTATTGTAGAATTAGGTCCTTGGTCCTGCTTCTCAATACTCCAGTGTGCTGGCTTCTAACTTTTACTTGAAAGGTGAGTGTGCTTCATTGGTGTTGTGTGCAGCATATTATTTGTGAAGGTCTTCAGCATGAAATGTTCTAGAAATACAGGGCACTAGCATTCACATGTATATGCATGTATAGAAATTGGCATGTTTGGGCACTGCTGCCCTCTGCTGGAAGAAAACAGAAATGCTCATCTGTGAGTCATTGACACTCTACTGCGGACATCTGGGAGCAGCTCTCTTTTAGTTCCGCTAAAGGTGCCATGTGCTCTGCAGAGTGTTTGCACTGAGTTGCCCCTCTGTGGGGTGGGAAGGTCACAGAACCACACCCTGGACAGTAGAGTTCAGAGTAGGGAAGGGCCATTGCACAGGAGCAAAATTAGGTGGACTAGAGATAATCCTGCCCTGGAGTGCATAACTTTAAGATGAATAATGCATGCTTAAAGCCACTTAAAGTTGTTAGTGTGCAACCAGTCCAGGGGTTAAGAGTTCCAGAAGCCATCTAAAGTTGCTCTGTAGCAAGACACTAAGAGGCCTATGCTTTTTGGAGAAGAACATCTGAATTCTGTCCAACAATTGCTTTGAAGGTCTGATTAGCTTTAATGTCATGACAACCACCAGGTTCCCAGGTGGCCACATTTTTCCTGTAGTTCTTTAGACAGGCTTTTAGCCTGTACGCCCCATGGTTCTCCTGTCTGGGGCTGCTTCCTATCTGTCATTGCCACTGTGCTTCCCTTGAGACATAAGTCTGCTGATTTTGCATGGCCCGAGGGGCCATCAGTTGGAGGTGATCCAGAAAGAACAGCAATGAGATGTGATTCAGGGAGAGTGATTTTTTAATAGGAATCAGTAACACAGCTATTGAATCTGTAGCTGGTCTGAAGTGATCTGGCGCTTCTGTAAACTGAGTGAAACTCGACAGCCTTGCCAGTAATTACAAGTATCTTTGGCATCTGGGCATCTGTGGGTCACGGTATATAGCGCAGGGTTTGCATATATATAAGCAGCATATTCTCAGCTATCCAGCATGCAATGTTTTGTGTCTTGTTTTAATCACAGTTAGGAGCACGTTTCTATTTCCATCTGCTCCTGCTGACTGCAAACATAAGGCTCCCTAGCAGAAAGGAAGTCGCTCTAGAAGGGCATGATTCGGAAGGATTTAGCGTAAACATAAGTAACAGGATTGCTGCAAAGGAGTAGCACATTTTGTTACATCTCCCTTCAGAGACTCTTATACATACAATTTCTGTTGTAACAATTACTTGAATTGGAGATAAACACCCATTACATTGATTTATTTCATATATAACATATATAATGGTTTCATACAACCTTCCCTTATACAGATTGTTTCAGCCCTTTACACAGAAACAATCCAGATGTATTCAGGAGGAGAATCATGCTTTAAAGTTAATAGGCAAGTTTTGATAGTAGATCAAAGAAGAGGTCTTTGTCATCAACTTTGATTCTGACC